AGGGCGAAGCGTCCCCCCTCCCACTCTATGCCCCAGGTACTGAACCTCTGTCATGCCCAGCTGGCACTTATCTGGTTTAATGGTGAGCCCAGCTGCTGCTATGCGGTCCACAACTTGTGTTAAATGGAGCAGGTGTTCCTCCCAAGTATCACTGAACACAGCAATATCATCCAGATATGCTACCGCATGCCCCTCCTGTCCCTCTAGCAGGTGATTAACTAGACGTTGGAAGGTGGCAGGGGCATTTTTCATCCCAAAGGGCATCACCTGGAACTCATATAGCCCAAAGGGAGTGATAAAGGCCGATCTCTCTTGCGCTTCAGGGGTCATGGGGATCTGCCAGTACCCTCGGCTGAGATCCATAATACTTAGGAACTTAGCACCAGCTAGTTGGTCTAGCAATGCATCAATGCGTGGCATAGGATATGCATCAAATGCAGTTACCAGGTTTAACCGCCGGTAGTCCACACAGAATCTAGTGGTCTTGTCCTTCTTGGGGACCAGCACCACTGGGGAGGCCCAGGGGCTGTGAGACTTCCGGATTACACCCAGCTCCAGCATTTCCTCTATTTCCCTCCTAATGTCTGCCTTCACCTCTAAGGATACTCTATAGGCAGCCTGTCTGAGGGGATGGTGATCCCCAGTGTCCACGTTATGGGTTACTAGGCGTGCCCTGCCAGGCTTCCCTGTGAAGAAACTATGGTAAGGTCTAAGGGCCTCAAACAGCTGACTCCTCTGTCCCTCTGTTAGGTGGGTATTAACCTGGGCTACCTCAATGCCCTCTAGATCCCGGGTTGCAGCCAGTAGATCCACAATGGGATCAGGTTCTTGCTCATCCCCAGGCAGACTACATACGGTTAACACCGTAGTCTCCCTGTCATAATAGGCTTTAATCATATTTACGTGATACACCTTTTTCCTCCTTCCCCCCTCATCCAGGGATACCACATAGTTTACATCATTCAACTGCTGCAGAATAGTAAACGGACCCTCCCATGCTGCCTGCAACTTGTTCTGCCTTGTGGGTATCAGCACAAGAACCTTTTGACCCACTCCATACACTCTTTCTCGGGCATCACGATCATACCACCCCTTCTGCTTGGTTTGGGCAGCCCTCAGATTCCCACACACCTCCCCCATGAAAGTCTGCATCTTGTCCCTAAACCGGAGTACATAATCTACAATAGACGTCTTTGTGGCCCCCAACTCTCCTTCCCACCCCTCTCGGATCAGAGCTAGGGGGCCGCGCACCTTACGTCCATAGAGGAGCTCAAATGGGGAGAAGCCTGTGGATTCCTGCGGCACTTCCCTGTAAGCGAACAGGAGGTGTGGCAGGTATCGCTCCCAATCCTTCCCCTGTGACTCTACAAAGGTCCTCAGCATCTGCTTGAGAGTCCCATTAAACCTCTCACACAAGCCATTGGTTTGGGGGTGGTAGGGGCTGGTCACTAGATGTTCTACCTGCACAATTTTGCAGAGGGACTGCATCAGATCAGAGGTGAACTGGGGGCCTTGATCGGTTAGCATTTCTCTGGGAAATCCCACACGGGAGAATATGCTTAACAGAGCATCAGCCACCTTGTCAGCCCTGATGGATGATAGGGCTACTGCCTCTGGGTAGCGAGTGGCGTAATCTACCACGGTTAATATATATCGCTTGCCCGAACTACTGGGAATGGCAAGGGGACCGACAATATCCACAGCTATTCTCTCAAATGGTTCCCCAACTATAGGAAGGGGTATTAGGGGGGCCTTCCCCACTTCCCCAGGCTTTCCCACCCTCTGACAGTCAGGGCAGGAACGGCAATAATTTGCCACATCTGTGCCCATACCAGGCCAATAGAAATGGTGGGACAAGCGAGTCTTAGTCCGCGCCACCCCTAGGTGCCCAGCCATGGGGATGGCGTGAGCCACCTTTAGCAGCTGGTCCCGGTACCTCTGAGGTACCACCAGCTGCCTTTCTGTTACCCAAGGCTCTTGCCCCACAGTAGGAATTGTTTCTCTGTATAACCTCTCATTATCCCAGTACACTCTCTCCCTATCCCTGTCTGTGTGTGGCTGCCTAGCACGTTCCCTCAATACCTCTAACGTGGGATCTGCCCGTTGGGCCTGCTGGAATTCAGGACACTGCGCCTCGGTCTCTGAGTCAATAGGGGGCTCGGACACAGATTCCTGCCCCTGGACTACAGGAGGGGATGGTAACAAGGTGCGAGACTCCCAGGTTCCCCCATCTGGGTGCTCTCCTGTTGACATACGCTCTGGGTCTGCAGGCTGCGGCAGGCCCTGCTCCCTACTCGGGTAAGACCGCTGCCGGGTTACCACAGCTACAGTGGAAACCTCTGCCTCCCCCTCCCTGTGATTTGCACTTGTCACAACCTCACCAGGTACCACAGACAAGTTTGGTTCTGGCACAGACTGATACACACACTCACTCTGCCCTCCCTCCCGGGGACTCTGTCTTGGCACACTCTCACATCGTATTGCAGACATATCTGGTTCTGGCACAGATTGGCACACATGCTCGCTCTGCCCTCCCTCCCAGCACAATAATTTACATAAACATTTGCACCCTGTCCTTTCCACAGCAGGGCCCCTACAGGGCTTTAGTTCGTAACCCCTATCACTCTCAGGCACATACTGGGATAACAACCTACCTAAGTCGGTACCAAGCAATACATTTGTAGGAATATTATCCGATACCCCCACATCCCTCAGACCCCTGCCCGCTCCCCAATCCAAATATACACGTGCCATTGGCACTGCAGGACGTATTCCCCCAATCCCCTTTACAGCTAAAGTCCTGCCAGGAATGAAGTCCTCAGAGCGCACTAGCTCTGGACGCACAAGAGTCACATCTGCCCCAGTGTCCCTGAGTCCCACAGTTACCTTCTCTCCCACTGTAACAGGCTGCAGGTTCACATTGTTGTTGCCCTCTGACTTGGTCACGAACAACACAGAAGATGCAGGTTGAACCCCTCCGGATGAGGGTGCTGGCCTCCTTTTCTCTGGGCAGGTATTACTCAAGTGCCCCATTCGGTTGCAAATAAAACATCTGCGACTATCTCCTTGCGCAGACATGGCACTAGCTCCCCCCCTCCCTGAGGTAGGAGCTGAAACAAAAGATGGCCCGCTAGGCCTGGTGATGGGGAGTCGTGGTGGTGTGGTCCTCCAGCTGGAGGTTCCCTTGGCAAACCCTCTGCTCCGGTCCACTGTTGCTCGGTTGGCAGTGTGGACATCTGCCAGCTTACCCGCTTCCAATGCTGTTTTGGGGTTCCGGTCCAGCAGCCATTCCTGTACATCAGCTGGGCAGAGCTGCAAAAACTGTTCTTTTATTAACAGGTCTTGCAAACTTTCCAAAGTGGTAATCTCCAGCCCTGTAGTCCACTGTCGGAATGCTGTCGCCAGGTGCCCCACAACCGCTGCATAACTCTCTGTGGGATGCTTTTGCAAAGTCCTGAATTTCTTTCGGTACACCTCAGGAGTAAGGTTGTATCGTTCCTGCAAGGCAGCCTTAATCGCATCATAGTCCTGGTCAAATTCTGCTGGAAGCGCAGCAAATGCTTCCAGTGCAGGACCTCTGAGACCAGGGGTGAGGTATTTTGCCCACTGGTCCTTTGGCAGCTGGTACTGCCTGCAAACTTTTTCAAAACTGCGCAGGAAAACATCCAAATCACCATCTTTGTCCAAAGTTGGAAAATTCTCTGCACGTGGTTTGGGTGCAGAAGAGTCTCTGGAATTAATACTCATAGGGGAGGCAGTCAACCTCTCTAACTCAGCCATTTTTAGCTCATGCTCTCTGGCAGCTTGTCGCTCAGAGGCCTCTCTCTCAGCCTGCCGCTCTGCAGCCTCTCTCTCCCTCTCAGCAGCCTCTCTCTCCCTCTCAGCTTGGCGCTCAGCAGCCTCTCTCTCTCTCTCTCAGCCTCCTGATATTGAAGGATAAGCTGTAGTCTTTGGTTTGCATCTGCTGAGTCCACATATTTTAACACCGTTTGTAAGTAACAATCCAAAGGATCTGCAGATCTCGGTACATCACAGACAAAAGCTGCAGGTATCTCCTCTGCAGTGTTTGAGGCATCATTTTGCACTGCTTGTTGCATATCATAGTCCACCAGTGCTTGCAATAGTTCCTCTTTTGTTTTTCCCCGACAGGGAATAGATCTCTCCCGGCAAAGCTGGTCTAGCGCTGCCTTGGATTGTGCCTGGTACTCCATTTGGTAAATAAAAGATAGGAAAGAAAAAACAGAGAAGGGGGGGACTGTTAAGGTGTAAATATATTATATATGCACTGAGTTCAGCCTTTGGAAATTGAGACACAATTTCTTTTAGTGCCTGGATTAACCAACAAATCCAGCAACACTAAAATCTGGTACAAAAAGATGAAAAATCTTTTTAGTTATCCCACCGCTATGCCACCAATTTGTCACGAACGCACCCTACTCCAAGAGTGTGCGTGACGTAGTTGTGGTGGTGAAAGGGTTAAAGTACACTATTTGTCTGCACTAGACCGGAAATAATGACAAAATCCCCCTTTAACACCACCCACACTTAAACATAATAGTATAACTATTACTACTTTAACGCTGCCACCACCAAGACAATTTATAAATGGGGTGCCTTGGTCCCCCAGGTAAATCAATAATAAAACCCACCAAATATTACTTAATACAATATTTAAGGAATTATAAAAATACTAACTAGTCTCTTCAGGTAACGTGATTCTTAACCAGACAAAGGCAAAACTTAATAAATGAATGTTTATTATGAGCAAAAGATAGTCACAGTGCATATAAAAATATATGATAAACAAATTATTTACACCAACAACAGATAAAAACAAAAAGGATAAAATACAGAAGTCCTAATTACTCACTTAGGTTTTCAAAGTACAACTTCTGTCCAGGGGGTCTCTGGCAAGGAAAGATGGTGACTCACTCAAAATTAGATCTTGGCCCCAAGCAAGTACACCAACACCCTTCAGGATCATTAGATATATACCCTGTGGTTTATCAAGTCTTGCCCAGGGGTGGAGTTAAGGCGTACCTACAGAAATAATAACTGACCACCTCCTTTGTTCCAGACCACTGTCAATCCAAATGGAAACATTTGACTCTATCTTCTTTTTTGTACCTGCCACAGAAATAATAATTGCATCTACATATTTGTTATTATTTTCCCATTCCATAGACATGTTGCACGTCCCACCCACGATCCAATAGGATGGACATCACAATTCCTTTCCCTAGGGTCAAGTTAGGCCACTCATGTTTGGACTTGGTTAGAAGATGGCGCTTGTCACATTCCAAATATAACAAAAATGAGGCTTAATTATTATTCTGTGGGGGTAAATATGAATGTTTTTGTCCTTCCTTTGGATATGATTCTAGAACAAAGCTAATGGCATTTACATATCAAAGAGATTTACTCATCACTTACAAGGCACAGGCCAAATGGATGAAGAGACATTCAGACTTTTTCCAAGTGTAGAACCTCACACCTTGCAGACTTCACATCCATACCGTAAAATCCTTTTCACATTCCTATGCCATTCACACTACCCCTTCTGTCATCTGCCCTCTGTGGGGGTCCCAGCTTCAAAAGATGTAACCCCTGTTGACCTCAGCAATAGCATCTCTGTAATTGGTGCCATTTACTACAAGAAATCACATTAAAAGATGATATTCCATAGTGTCATAATAAATTATACTACCTTGCCGTGACAACATCTACATGCAGGGGTTTCTCTGTCACAGGGTGCGGACGGCGCCATTGGGGGTATACACTCTGGATACACAAGGTAAGTGGAGTCTGAGTCTGGAGACTAATATTGTTTTTTTTTTGTTTGTTTTTTTAAAACAGGTAGCAGAGGTTTAATAGAGGTGTGGGCTTGTTTTTTTTTTTACAGGGGGCTGGGTTTTAATAGTGGTGGGGGGCTGGGGTTTTGTACAGGGGGTTTGGGTTTTGTACGGGGGGCTGGGGTTTAATAGAGGTGGGTGCTGGGTTTCTGTACAGGGGGTGGTGGTTGTTTAATAGAGGTGGGGGCTGAACATGGGGGTGGGGTTTAGTAGAAGTGGGGGCTGGGATTTTGCAGGGGGAGGGTGGGGTTTTGTAGAAATTGGATGGGAGGGCAGCAGATTGTGAATGTGCCGGGAGGAGGGGGTTTATCAGTTGTGGCGAAAGTAACCTCACCACGGGCTCCTGGAGGAGCCTGCTTGCCAGCCTCTTGCCCCAGGACTATGGCCCTGTAAAAGGGCTCATAAAAGACTGTGTTCATGCCATTTCTCCATGCTGTTCGGGAACTGAACAGACGCACAAACTGTGGACCACCCGGGAGCTTGTTAAGCCCTATCATCACCTCATAACTATTCTAACCGTGGTGTTCTAACTGTTCGTCTGGGTGGCCGCTGTTCGTATGAACGACCACAAGGTGGCGGCCATCTTGTTCACACGAATGCAGGAAGCGGTGTTTGGGCGTCAACCTCATGAAACTAAAATCAGACACTGAAACTTCCAAACACCGCTGGACTTCCATCATAGCCTGCGTTCGGTTTAGTACATCGTGGAAGGGCACTGTTCGGTGGAATCGTTCGTCTGGATGAGGGGAACAAGCTCCATGGTATGACTATTGACCATGTGTTGTAGTTTGTGCATTTTTAAACTACCGAACTTGACTGACTGCTACCACTTTTCCCCTGGAACTATTTTGGGCAGGAGCCTTGTGTGCGGTTGGTCAAATTATGACTTCCATGGAAAACCCAAACCCCTGAACCGATCTGGGTGATTTTTTAGATATGGGCTATCAGGGGATGTGACTTTTGTGAGGTTTCCATCTGTTTTGGGGGTACTTTTGGGGTGTCTGTAAGATGTGTGTTTTCTGTGCCTGGAGATAATTGAGTTTGTACAGTTTCTGACTCAATTATCTCTCAGGCACAGGGGTGGGATTACCCTGTTATTTTATGTAGGAAACCCCTTGCATGGGGTTTGCATAAAAGGCCATGTGTGGCCTCTAATAAACAGATTACTTCCCAGCATTAAGCCTCAACTCGTGTGTGTGGGGGGGGGGAGGGGATTACTATACCTGCTATACTCTCATGGAGGAGAGGTCTTCACACTGGGAACTGGATCCAGGTGTTGGTCCAGGGTGGGAAGGGACGGCGAGACCCTGCGGCGGCTAAGGGGACTATGGTGCTTATGGTTTCCGGTGCAGTGCTTAAAGTACTCGGCGATACAAGGAAGCGTGATTGGCGGAGGTACCCAGTCAGGGTGACAGGCGGTCCTCCACTTCAGTCACCACCACCACTTTGAAGCCCAACAGCCCAATAAGGCTCCATCCAGGCTCAGACTCCATTAGAGCCTTTATTGAGGATTGGAAGGGCCCGATAAAGATTAATATTTATATATTAAAGTTTAATATCTGTCTATATATATCATTCCTCTGTGTTTTTATCGTGATTACATTTTCACTTTTTGATATTTGTTGATTTATGACCTAGTTACTGTCGGCTTTGTCTCACAGTTTAGCTGGTTTCCTAGTACCCACGATATCTCTGCGAGCGTCTTTAAGTCATGACGACACTTGCAGCTTCCCGTCACGTCCGGGTTGGAATATACCTTGTTTATTTGGCCCATGTTAGCCTTTGAGTTTGACATGCTTGCTTTAGAGGTATGATCTATACACCCAAACTGCTTCATTCAGCTAAAGTTGTTTTGGTGACTATATTGTCCCTTTAGTTATATAATTGTGGCTATTGTGCAGCTATACATGATGATGCCCCATATATTCTTTTACTGTTGCTACACAAAAATGAAATGCAGTAGACCAAGAGGCAGGCTAACATTTATTTTTGAGACATAATAGAACTTTACTTTAAAAAAAATAAAATCTCCAAAACAAACCATAACAGGTGTATACACAATATTATACATTGAATAAGTTAATATGAGGTGTGTTACACAATGCAGTAATTCATGTTCACAAGAAAGGTCAGTTAACATTCGGATGCATGACTGAATGGCAATAATGTGGATTTTCTGACTGTTATAAGGCTGGTGGGAAGAAGAATGTTGCTGGCTTTGATATGCCACTAGTTACTATTAATATATTGTACAATACAATACATACATAAGGCAGATATGTCCACCCAATCCTAACAAAGCTGAAAGCTTTAAGGTTATGGCTGCTTTAACTGTGAAGCATCAGGCATCACCAGCAATGGTTCTGTATATGGAACACAACATACTAGCTCTAACATCCTTAAAAGGAACACTACATTTAAAAAAAAAATTGAGTTTCTTAAACTATTTACATTACTGCTTCCCCATTTTAGCACTCAAAGGGTTAAATGACACTCTCATATTTATTCCAGTGCTGGGAAAGTCTCCACACTGCAGCTCCAATCCGCCTCCTGTGAAGTCATCAATACATAGGACTGTATCAATCAGATCCTTCTGACAGGGAAACATACCAATGCTTCTCACAGAACTTTAAAATTTAAGCTTCTCCACGAGAACCACTCACTTCTGTTCTGAACAGTTCCAGTCGAGAAAGGCAGGAAATACTCTGAATTGTCTGCTTTAAAGCAGACCAGTGTTACCTAGGAGATTGTTAATTTTTCTTTATTGACACTACTTTCATTTTATTGCATTTATTAAAGGGATAAAGCATTGTTTGTTGTCTGCAACATTCAGAATAAAGGGCATATTCTGAAACCATAAGCCTATCTAGATTAGATCCTTAGATAGATTTGACTGCTTTTAAATTGAATTTCAGTTTCCAAGTGACATTTCTTGCAACATTTGCAAAACTGCTTCTTGAGGAAAAACTAGTTTGAGCTAAAAAAAAACCAAAAAAAAACCAAAAAAAAACTCATCCATATTTAAAGCTATACTCCAGGCACCCTGACTACTTCTGCCCATTGGAGTGGTCTGGGTGCCAACTCCCACTACCCTTAACCCTGCAACTGTAAATATTGCAGTTTTCATAAACTGCAATATTTACATTGCAGGGTTAAGTCCATCTCTAGTGGCTGTCTAGACAGCCACTAGAGGTAGTTCCATGTTCATCGAACACGAAAAGCGTCGCTGGAAATCCCCATAGGAAAAGCACTGAAATTATTATTCAATGCTTTCCTATGGGGAGGTCTAATGAACGTGTGCGGCCATTGCCGCGCATTAGGTCTCCGTCAGTGGGGGAGAGTAGCCAGAGTGTGACCTAGCGCCGAGGGACATCTGCGCTGGACTCCGGTAAGTCACTAAAGGAGTTTTAACCCGTTCAGCAACTTTGGATGGGGGGGTGGGAGGGAGAGGGACACTGCGGGAACCTGCAGTGCCAGGAAAACTGGAAAATCCCTTTAACTGTGCCAAGAAGTTTTTTTTTCTATAAATATATATTAAAGCAAATTATACTCTATATAGTGTGCCAACTGGGAAGTGAATTGCTTAAAAGGAACACTCACCCCAATGGAAAAAAAAAAATTAATATTTAGTAGATATATATCATTGAGCATATATGTAAAAACATCTTACAAAGCTGCAAATCTCTTGTCTGAAGCATTTGCAATTCCTCCTTTTCTTTCCCAGTCTAGGCTTTCTGTGGCTGTCCAATCACAGACTTCCCAATGTAGCTCAATGTCTTTGCAAGGCAGATGCTCTGAGCAATTAAAAGTTTGGCTCTATTGCGCTAAACAAACCAGGAAGTAATAGGATAGGTTGTCTGATGGACATCCTGGGAGGTGTAACAAGATTCATTTTTAAAATGTGCGAATTTCTACTGAAATATGCACTTTTTGAAAAATGGGAAACCGATCCCTGAAGTGCTTTAGGGGTCTGGAGTGTCTTATTGTGCATGGATTATGTATTCTACAAGCATAGTTCCCTATGAGTGCCAAGCCTTGTGGAAAACTATACAATGTTTTGATAAGTCTGTAGGCAGCACATTTCAAAGCTTTACCACGCTTTCGCTAGTCTTTAAAGGGTGCCCTCATTTACTTTAATAGGATAAACAGCATTTGTCTAGGTGTCAATTAAAGGGTGATCCACTCCACTGATACTGTTGCCATCTGTTTTACCATTTCATATCTTTCTTAGGAATTCTTACCCAAATGTTCATACAAATGCTCATACTTTTAAAGTAATGGTTACTAGGACATAATTTTGTTCATATATATATTGTAGCACGTGTTCCCAACTGTGTTGCTTTGTATATCGTGCTGAATTTCAGCAGAAGCCTACTGCTCAATCCGTAAGTGCGGTAATATCTTTTACAGCAATCAGCTTATCTTAAATCAGCCAGAAGTGTACACGCACAGATGAAGTGATCCAGTAATATATCAAAGCCTAGAAACTCTGAAGGGTTCAGGCCTATAAAGCACTACGGACAACCAAGTGCTAAAACATTGTGTGGTCTTTCGTTTTGCATACGACTAATTATGCCACTTTACTTGGCATGACCAATTTATTTCCACTACTTTATGTAAAACGCAGTATATGTATATTTTCCATGAATGAAGACTGTAAATGGTGGATACAAAATAGTACACCAGTGTTTTTATTGCTTACATACTACATAGCTGATTGCCCACTCCTTTAAAAAAAAAAACAAAAACAAAAAAAACAGCATAATGCATCTCAAATGTACAAATGAGGGTTACAGAACTGAAAACACCATCTTTATAGTTAGTTCTCTATGCACTGATGGAAGATAGTGGTATTTTACTCAATTTAGATATATACATATGCAGACATTCATTCATTTTCTGGAGGAAGGTAATGGATGAGTAAGTAGATGAAGAATTGAATTTTATCTCTACAAACTGGTTTCAGTGCCATGTAGACTGAGAGAGTTTCCTACACACCTAACATGTTATAAATCCTCAGTAATCATTTCCTTAGTTCATTAAAAAGGTAAAAAAAGGATAACTGGACTGCCAGCACAATTACCAAGACTGGGAACAAACTAACGAGTGAAAAAAATAAATAAACACACACGAAAGCAGGGATTATAAAGAAATATTAGTAAAATGTTTATTACTTTAATAATATATTTAAAAAAAACATATATAAAGACAGCAGCCAACAGAAATGTAGAAGATTGGATGATTTCCCCAGTGTGCAAGGAAGTGCGGAACATTCTATTACAGAAATTAGGGACATTACCCCCTGGAAAGGAGCAATAATTATTAACATCTAAAAGTACCAAGATCATCAATCCCTTCATTGATTGAGGGGGGGGGGGGACTTGTACATCCATCAACAAAACACGACCATTCACTCTCCCTCTCCACAATATTGCCTGCTCAGTGTATAATTTAAGACAATCTAGCCCCATGTTAAACGAGCAGGGCTACTGGAGTATAAAATAGCTGTACAGAATAGCACTAGTTCATCAACACGGACTGGAATCAATCAGCATTGCTTGGGGATACTCATTTTGCACAGAGTTGCATGTCTTTCAGACACGGTGTATACTCTCCGGTCACAGAATACTAATCAATCATATAAATATATTCTGTATCAAGTTATATACAGGGTTTTTTTTCACTCATACTCTTTCATAATTAAAATTATAGGGACTATGTCCAAGCGTCAACACGGCAGCTTTCAACCTTATCGAACACAGATGGTCGCATTAATGTGTCTTTATGTATTGAAGGGGCAACCGCAGTCGGATGGCATAGAATACTTTCAAAAACACATATAGGCTGCAGGTGCCCTACGACAACAGATCATCCAGAAACTGTATTAAAAATATAGCCAAACACTGGCTTTTATGATATTCAAACAAAGGGAAGGTTTTCAATACGTACTCTATTCTGCCCTAGCTCTCTCTGCTTACCGACTGCATGGAGAAAAATATAAAATCAAAATCTATTGAACCAAGAACGGGCAGCGGTCAGGGCTCTGCAGAAGGAATGTTTAAGAGGTGCAGTTCCTAAAGATGCCCATGTAATCTGTGCAAAGTTAAAGCTTTTGCAAATGTTGTAATCAAAATCAATTCTACATTGAAACATTTTCAGCAGGCATGTGAGTCGGACAAAAAAAATGTAAGGCAAAAAAATAAAAAAAAAATAAAAAAAACTTTCATGGAAGCAAACTAACCGACATTGTTGATATCGGAATGCAAATGCTTGAAACATTCGATCGCCTATATGCTTCTCATTGCTGTACTTTTGTTTTGCTCTCCATAATGGCTAAAATAAGGGGAGTAAAGCCCACACAACAAAAATCAATGCTATGCTTCCAGAAATCATTAAAAAGAGGGGACATGGAATGGCCAGACACTTTAGACAAGAAAATAGGACTGCTGGTCAGAAGGCAGTTAGATCTTCATGTAATTCAATGCGGCAAGACCCAATATCTGTCCACTACTTATTATTAAACTGTAGGTGTTTAGTCTGCTGCCTTGTCAGGGACATGCATTAAGTTTAAAGGACATACTGGCCAGCTAGTGCCCTTCTGCTGTTGCTGCACTACAACTCTCAGTACAGTCAGCCATGCTCTCAGTTCCTGAGAGTTGTATTTCAACAACAACTTTGTCCACAGTTGACCAGCTATGCTACAGGGCCTCTCTGTGTATCCTGGATAAGAGGACTAGGGCAGGTAGTTTGGGTGCAAGCCTTTCTGTATCATGAAGTGGTCAGCTACTAATTAAATGCAGACTTCAGCTCTTTAAAGGCAGCTCTGCGGTTTTTCTTCTCTTCCTCCTGACGCTTCCTCTCGTCTTGCTCAGCTCGGATCTCGGCCTCAAACTTGCTGGCTGAAGACAGAGCCTGGACCTGTGATCAAAGCGAAATAACCCAAACAGGATGTCACAATAAAATAGACACAGAGCAAGAGCAGACAGAAAGTACTTTGAAAAAAACAAAATGAGAATAAAATGATGAAGGCAGAGCAATATTTAATGCCTTACATTTACATCATAGTGAGGACAAACTGTGCACTTTATTGCTTTGTGAGTGTTCTCTTACATTCTACATATGTATATGTTTAAAAGCCAATGAATATTATTTAAACCTGGTAGTACTATGAGATTGTTTTATAAAACCAACTCAGACCAGAAGGATGGTTGGAATCCAACATAAAGTAAGTGCCAAATCGTTTTAAGGTTTGACAGGTAACCAGCACACCGTCCTGAGAACTCCTGGCATAATAGTGTGCTGTAATATGGTGGCATCAGTTTTGTAAATCAAGATGCACAATAAATAAATATTGGTAAGACTGGTAAAATTTTACCAAAATGTTCTACTTATAAATTTACTGATGTATTCAAAATCAGACATGAAATGGTTTTACTTACGTTATATATCAGTTTCTTTAGTGGCACTGTCATGACACAAATTTAATGTTACACTTCGGGCACCATTACAACAATGGAATGAAGTTGCTAGGTTCCAGGAGGTTCCCTTTGCCAGTTTTCCTTTAGGCAGTCAAACCATTCAAATTCATTTTATTCACAGTAAAACAATTGCCTTACATGACATACTGTTCATAACATCATTTTGCTGCTCTCAGATTCTTCAAACAGGAAGCCTCAGACTGCCACAGTCAACGCTGCCACCGATTTGCTTGGAGTGTCAGCAGTGCTCACCATAAAAATGTACTGAGAAAAATGTTTCTTACGCAGTTTTTATTTTATTTTGTTTAATTTTTTTTATTAATGGGGAGCTACTGATTGGTTTAGAGCATCAGCTGACTAAGCCAATCAGCAGTGCCCTTGTCCGTGGCAGTCTGAGGCTAAAAATAGGGTCAGAGCTACACAGCACTGGAGAGAAGACTTGGGGGTCAAACCGTTTCTGAACAGTATGTCAATTTTTTTAAACTTCTCAAAGATTATGGTGACATAACAGAAAGATTGTATATGTTAAAACTGGACAATAACAGCAATTCCTACCAAAATAATGCTCAGTCATTTTAACTCTAATACCCTCTTTAATTTCCGTTATACCAGTGTGCAAATTTACCTTAGCTTCAAAGAAGTCCTTGGCTCCTTTAACGCCCTCCGTGGAAACATCGATTTCAGAAAGTTTAGCCAAAGCCATCAGACCACTGTCCTGTTCCAGCTCCCCAGCTGCAGCCTTCCGAAAGATCAATAAAAACTGTGGGACAGAAAAAAAATTAAAAAAATAAAATAACTTACTATGCTAGCTTGTTTACAAAAGGATTCTATAGTCAGTCTTTGATTCGGCTTAAGAAAAACTCCAGTTACAGGAACGACTCATGTTCCTTGTACAGGTTATGGTGCAAGGAGTACGTATTATAACTATCAATTGTCAAAAATCTCTGCAGATGCAAGCCAAGTTTTTCACTTCGATACAATTACAGGTTTCTATGATCTTGTATGGCATGTACCCACATCTTACTTCTCCATCACCACATTCTCTAAAATGGCATGATGCAAGACAAATGTATTCCATTAATTAATAAAGACATGAGGAAACTGAGCTCTCACACAGAGATTGAAATTTAATTCTAATCAAGATTTAGCACTAATGGAACTCCTTAAAGCAGACCAGTCACCTTTGGAGATCGTGGCATATTTTGCCAAGATCTTTGGTGGTGACATCACTGCTTGGATGCAGTGGCCCCAGTGTGCAGCAGAGGTCATACTTGCTTGAAGTTGTCCCCTGCGAGCAGTTTTCTTCTTTTTACAGCTCCTGGTGCCTTTTCCTCTACAAAACATACAAGTACTGTCTTATGCAAATGAGCAAGAGTACAACAATGATGTCTACGGAGGATCCCACAAGGCTAGTGAGATGGCTGTGGAAACTGCCAAAACTCTAGTGTGGAAACTTTTTTTTTTTTTTTTTAATTAGGCATTTACCAGAAGAAAGTGGGGAGCGATGCTTGCCGAAAGAGCCAAACTGTTCTAAAACAGTTTGACTACTCACAAAAGGGGTAGCGTGCAAGGATACTCTTTGCATTATAACCACAGCAGCTCGATGTAGTGGTTTTGGTACTTGAGTGTTCCTCTACGAAAACAGAGTCAATGCCAGCAAGGAATGTCCCTTTAAGATATGTATATTGCAGAACAGCAGCTATTAAAAAATAATAATTGTAGTGATTTATGGTCCATATTTACTGTAAAAAAATATAATTTGGATTTAATTAAGATAAGGCAAGATGCGAATGGATGAGGAGGGTATCCAGTTGTTATATGAAAGGTTGAAAGTAACTAATATATTTCATAAGCACAAATTATGTGGACAATACATAAATCTATCAATTCCAATCATAATCGCACAACATACTCTGCCAGGGTTTCTCTTTTTGTAACTGGTCACTATCTACTTACACGCCAATCATAAAACTGGCATGGAAAGAACCCAGTCAGCTTGGCATGTTATTTCTGTTATTGAATAAAACAGACAATCCTGCGTATCCAGCACTGAAGCTCTATTGTACACTCAACCGTTTCCCACGAAGCTCACCTAGCACTTCCACATCGGTATACCTCTACTGAGAGAAAAGTCATGTTAGCATATCAATAGTTGGCCAGGATAAGAAAGAGATTCTTTCTGCACTGACATTCTGCCCAAAAAAAAAAAAAAAATCCACACAAACAGATCAGGATAATTTAAAATCCCAGGTGCGGGTCTTAAAAAAAAAAAAAAAAAATAGAAGTTTAAAAAAAATTAAATACAATTGGTCAAAACTTTGACATTGGTTATTGCTTATTAATTAACATGTCTGTCTCCCATATTTACAGTTTCCTATAGTTTTGTCTAAACAACCCACCATAAACGTATTCACCCCTTTAGTTACTATAGCCAAAGGAGTCATAAGAATCCATGAAAACATGAGTAATTTCTTGGGGACTTCCACTCCCACTAACTAGCTTTTTCATATCCACTCAAATATATTAAGCATATGTTGTTACATGGTTATGTCTATTATACAAAAATGTATGCAGTGTTCCTTTAACCCCTTATGGACACATGACATGTCATGATTCCATTTTATTCCAGAAGTTTGGTCCTTAAGGGGCTAAAGGACCACTATAGGGCCAGGAAAACAAACTTGTTTTCCTGGCACTATAGGGTCTTTAGGTCCCCCCACCCTCAGGGTTTCACTCTTGCCAGGCTAAAGGGGGTTGAAGGGGTTAAACAAACACTTACCTTTCTCCAGCGCCACGACGTCAGCGTCTTCTCACTGTGATTTTCAGAGAAGTGAGAAGCGCGGAAGCGCCTCTAGCGGCTGTCAATGAGAGCCATTACAGGCTGGCATAACCCTAGTGTAAACATAGCAGTTTCTATAGGTTTACAGCTGCAGGGCTAACCAGAGATGGACCTGGCACCCAGACCACTTCATTGAGCTGAAGTGGTCTGGGTGCCTATAGTGGTCCTTTAAGTTGTGTTGATGCCAAAGAATGTTCCTTGAAGGGTGGAACTTAAATCTGGTTAGGAATCCTATCAACCCAATGCATAGACAAAATGTTTTGCTGCAACTTTCTATTTTGTGCGTATGACGTATACACACACACACACACTTTTCATAATGCTAGTGAGAAGAACTATGAATATGATAATCTCTTGATCACAAATGGTTCTAGAAAAAAAAAAACAGAACAGCTGTGACTCAGGTACCGTTTTATACAATTTACAGGTTTTTAAAATTGAGCAGACATTGCAATAAAAAGATTAGTCATCATAGATATTTAGGCACTGGGGCAAATTGTACAACTTTTGTGATCTCAGAAACTGCAAATCGTTACAAAAACCACTTAGAATCTAGCCACTGCACAAATCATGTCTAACAACTTGTGGTGTAATCATTTTTTTGTGAAACTTAGTGTAACCCCCTATTACCTTAAACTGACCATAAGGCATACTTGTTCTAACAGGATTTGTCACCTAGGAAGCAGGTGGTGGAATAGGATATACGTGAGGATATTAAATGTAGTATTGTACTACATTGTTTGCACTACAGAAGAACTTCAATACTGAGGTAGATTATTGCAGGAGTTAAGCTGAATATGTTAAATCCTGATATAATCCAAATGGATTTAACATTTTTGGTTTAATTTATTCCTTCTGATGGGCAATTACTGCCCAGGCCCTCTTTCTATGTATTGTTTTTCCAAGCGTTATGATCAAATATACAGACACACACAAAAGAAGTTTATTAATAATTGTTTCTGTACATAACAATGAACATAATGTAAAGTGAGTGAAATCAATAACAAATCACCATCAATTATTGTAGATAATTAGCTTTTATTTGATCCTATATCCATTCCTGAAGAATTGAATAAGCCGCTCAAGATATATTCTTTAACATCTTTAAAACTGCTAAATAAGTTCTATGATAGCGGAGCACTTAAAGGTATTCTATAGTGTTAGGAATAGAAAGCTGTATTCCTAACACTATAGTGCCCACTGATTCCCCCCCAGCGTGGCATATAAAGATCCCAGCACTGATGTCCCTATGCACCTCCACCAACATCAGACAAGGAGACCTATTGTGCATGCGCAGTGAGCACAATAGGCCCCCATTTACTACCCATATAAAAGCAATGAATCTATGCTTTCCCTTTGGGATATCTCTGCTGCTGGAAATCCTCATACAGAGCACGAGGACGGCCCGTCATTGTTTAATTGATCTAGAGTCCAGTAAACTCCCATTAGAGTGTCTTAGAACTGCAATGTAAACATTGTAGTTTCTCAAAAACTGCAATGTTTTACATTACAGGACCAAGGGGGACAGAGACACTGTACCCAGACCATTTTAATGAGCTGAAGTGGTCTGGGTGCCTGTAGTTTCCTTTTAAAAGTAGCTCTTACTAAAAGTGTAATTCACTGTAACAAATATAAAATATTGATAAAGTGCTTATATGTGCATATAACAAATCAGCAATTAAAGTGCCAAACCATAAAGTGCAATAAAAAAAAAAGAAAAAAAAAAAAAGGAGGAGATCCCTTCTGCCAGGGGTGCCATGAGGGGGGACCATGCTGCATTCCCTGGTGGTCCAGTGGTGAGAGTGAACTCTAACCTGCGGTAACCACAGCAAAGCTCAGAATCCCGCGAGAGGACCGGGCGGAGCTGCTTGTTAGAGCTCCGCCGGGTCCTCTCTCCTGCCTCCCTCCCTCTCCTGCTGGCGGCCGCATCTCCCTGCCTGTGGGCCGGTGAGGGAGATCTTTGATCTCCCCACCGGCCCACGGAGGCACACAGCAGGGCCGGCACTCGGATAGCGCTGGCCCTGCAGGAGCCGGCCGGGGAGATCCCCTGCCGGCCTCGGCCCCACGGCCATCGCGGCCCACCGGGCATTTGCCTGGTATGCCCGATGGCCAGTCCGGGCCTGGTTATATGTAATTTAAGGAACACATGTTATAATTATGGTTTGTGCTAGAACAAGCAGGGTACAAAAATAACTGATATTGCTCAGAGCATAACTATGTCCCCTGTTTCTTTTATTTAATATTCTCTGTTTTTGTTGCAATGCATTAACTTGGCTCTTGCCTTCAAAACAGTGTAAATTCCCTGATTACTAATCCTGTTCAAAACAGCAAGGTCACAGGTTAAAATCCAGGCAGGTGCAGCTTAGCCCTTCATCCTTCTGAGGTCAATAAAATGAGCATCATTAATTGGGTAATAACATCTATAACTATTCAACTGCTGATTTAGTTAATTCCGAGAGCGTGTGCTGAAAAGCGCTTTGAGTCCCACTGCAGGTATAAAAAATAAAAAATATGCCATCCTGTGGCAAGTCCAGTTATGACTGAAACATGAACAAGGATGAATTACTATTTTGTTGCAGAACCTGTTCTCAGGGCATCACGTATTCTTAATCTACCTTTGACGTACAGCTTGCAGGATGTTTGTCTGAAAAGGATTTACAGATATATTTAAAGACACTGTCACCTTCTGGGGTCTTTGCATATTTTGCCAAGACCCCAGATAGTGACTTTGCCATTTGCAGTGAGGTAAGCGTAGGGTGCAAGGAAAAGAGAGCTCTACTTACCTAAACCTGTCCCTCCATCATCCTTATCTGCCTGAAGGTGACATCATTGCTACATGTGCGAGAATACAACACTGATATCTATGGAGGATTCCGCGAGATGGCAGGATCTTCTACACAGAGCCTCCCCCACCTTTTCTCATAAGTGATGACTAAGGAATTGACAAAGCTTAACAGCGCTAGCGCCTCTATTTGTCAAGTGGAGAAAAAAAATTCACAATAGAAAACGGTCTCTACTTTATCTTATGATAGCCTTGTCTTCATGAGCATTTCATAAAGATTCCTTGCTTCCCTTTGCCCTTGATAATATGGCAGAAGCAGAGTTATGCTTCCACCTGAACCCGTACCAAGGACAGGGGCAGAGACTGTATGAGAGCACTCAGCCTATCACTGTCTGCTATCCCAGGTATAGCGTTTAGTAAAACATTGCTCCGCCTTCACCAATTCATCACTGCAGGCTGCCAGTGACCAAGCATCTCTACTTAAAAATGACACTTTAGTCAACAGAACAACTACAGCTTAATGTAGTTGTTTTGGTGTCTATATTCTTTACAGAGAAAAGGTAGCGTAGATGGCCACTAGAGGTGCTTCCTGGGCCAGTGATGCACAGTGTGCTCCTATCACAATCACCACGTCAAATCGCTAAAGTGGTCATAGTGGCTGGACTAACATTTTAACGGGGAGTAAACGGTTTAACAGTGATGCAGAACCTGGTGCCTAAAATATCCAGGCACCATAAGCACTGTGAAAGCAATTATGGATTCTACAGTGTTCCTTTAATGAATTGCAACATATACACATATATAAACCATTGTTTTATATACAAGTCACAGTTGCTTCCGAGTGATTGAAGAGGCTTTACCTCTCGAAAGTTCAACTTTCCATCAAAGTCTTCGTCTACTTCTTTGATCATATTCTTTAACCCAAGATGTGTCTGTGGAGCTCCTAGTTTCTCCATCATCAACTTCATCTCCATCAGATCAATGAAACCATCCCGCCCAGTGTCATACCTACACAGAGACAACAATAATAAATTAAAATGAAACGGAACAGACATCAAAAACACACACAAGCACTAACTACACAAATACACTTCTCTGTTATTGATAAACTACAGAAAGTTCAACCCATCACTTGTCATCAGACCAGAGCAGCATAATGACAAGGGGAGCAGAAGAGGAACTTCAACTATTATAATCCCAGACCGGCCGACACGTATCAAATAGAACACAGGAACCAACAGAAAGAATGTGCAGATGCAACAATATTCAAAGAATATTCTAGTGTAGGGCTTGACAGTTAGGAGTCAGAAGGACATTTTACTAATTTATTTTAGTAGCAAAGAAAGGAATAAATCTATGGAGCTTCTTGTAAAAATAAGTTGAGCAACATGATTAATAAAGTTTTTGTAAATTTTGGCTTGCTCCTAATTCTGTCAAGACCTTGTGTTAAATATGTAAAAAAATAAATAAATTAAAAAATTAAGACTGAAAAGTACCATAACCACTATACAGATTCAACAGTAGTTATGATGTCAGAAGTTCCCTGGCACCATCCGATGGTAAACAGTCAAAATATTTATGAACCGTTTGAAATGTACTTTGCTTTGTAGGGCGTCCATGCTGCCTCCAGTCTAAGCAGATATGCTAAAGTGAATGTTTATACTTCCACATGATCATACCAACACATTATTAATTCTGGCCTGGCAGAACTTGGAACTACATGTCGCCATCTGCCAGAGATTGGTGAGAGTTACACTACCAAGGGGCAGATGCTGCTATTTTAACTCTGCATGTTCCTGAGCTGAATCAATGGCGGCAGCTGAAATAATTGCAGCCTAGTAGTGCAACTCCTATTAATCTCATGCAGCAGTGGAACAATATCATTTAGCATTAGAGAACATAGCAGGAAATAAATCAAATAAATGGTGTTTTGGGATCCTACAGAAGAACTCCTTGTTGATATTTTCCCCATTCATTCATCGTTATGTATCTATACATCTATAAATATCTCTACACACGGGTCATTATTTTTTGTACTGGCAGCACCAATAGGACAGATCCCATAAGTCATGCTTACAGGAAACTGCCTCAAAATTTAGTTAATGTAGTACAGCGCAAGTGCTCTGGGAACTAGGACCAGAGACTAAAATAGTGTAGCTGTGCTACAGCAAGGGCAAAGGGGAGGAAATTAAAATAAATAAAAAAAAATAAAAAAAATACTTTTTGCTTTTAAGCTAGAGGTTACAGAAAAAGGGAAGAACGGATTGTGTCATTGTAGGAGGGAAGTATCAGCCAGAAGCACAGCAAAGTCCATTTATAGACAAGAGTTATAGCATGGGGAGGGCACTGAACATATATCAGCATGTAATTCAGTCATAAGGAAGACATACTGAATCAAAAGCTAGATGGGTTACAGTTTTAGGATACAAAACTTTTTCCTTGAACAAGCTCCAAATATGGCAATTGTGATCATTATTAAAAAGTGCAAATAAAAAGGAGAAAACCAGAATGAATGGTAAGCATAGCAGCCATGGTGCCAACCAGATATCTGTTTAGGAGACAGGGAAATGCATGCGTGTACTTTGCAGTGTGCAGGCTTCAAAACAGTTTACTTTAGCAGTTTAATGATTAAGCACAGGGATCAAGTAGGAAAATGCACAGATCACAAGATCGAGGGGAAATAAAGTCAGGAACTAGGACGTAGACATGCAAGCAATCTTTAATCATCTTGCAGTCTATTTTAAAGGGTATATTCTGTAGAGTGCATTAATCCATTCATTACAAGGAGACATGCTTTAAAGTGACCCTATCACCGTCTGGGGACGTCGCAGAATTTGCAAAAGGCCCCTGATGGTGATTTTGCAGCTGATAGTCCAGTGGGGGAGATAAAAATTGAGGTCTATGATGGAGAGTCCTGCAAGACCATGGGATCATTCATAGACAGAGCCAATTCCCTGCAGCCAGGGGATTGACAATTTTAGACAGCAGTAGAAGTGTCAGGATTAGGGGGGAAAAAAATGCATGAAACAAAAAGTAGTTCATACTTGGTCTTATATTTATAGTTAGTTTTTTTTAAAGAAGGAAGAAAAAGTAGGAAAGAGGAAGAGATTGTGAAAAGGTAGGTACGGTGTGCTGCTTTAAGTAGATATTAACAGGAATCGGCACTTATAATTCCCTTGTACTATTTTTAAACATTTCTGCTGTATCAGGAAAACATTGCATTCTGTTTTTGCAAGCCAAAACAAATTCCCCTCCAGTAAAAATATTTGCAGATTTTGCAAGTGAGATTTGGTCAGACCTTAAAAGGGAGCATTGATATTATAAGGAGTACTAACCACCATAACCACTGCTGCATATTGTAAGAGTTACGGTGCCAGGGTCACCCTTGCACCTATACATGTAACCAGTCAAACTACTGGTCAACTAAATACGCAGCGTCCATCATGCACCAGTTACTTCCTCTATAAACAGGGACACCACATCCACCATGTTTTCCAGCACACGCACCACATTTATACAAATTGATAGGCAACACACAGAAAGTGCTGCCCTGCAGTATGTAGAAGTCACATGCTGCAGGCAGTAAATCAATCAGGAATCCTGCAGCACATACATTATCTATAATACAGGGCAGCATTTTCATGTTCTGCTAATCAACATAATGAAATTATGCGTGGCCCACAAAATATGGTGGATACATCTATGATCAACCAGAAGTTCGTGCTGAGAACTTCTCCTAAACCAAGCCACAATATGCAGGGCCAGCACAGTGAAGAGAGCTTCCAGCTGTTACAGAGGTGGTTAACGGTGCCTGGTGAACCCAAAGTAATAAAATAAAACTGCTGGCACACTGTAGTGGTTATGGTGCTTGGAGTGTTCCTTTAATTCAGTCAGGCACACGGAACAAGTGCCACTCGGCAGCCATAGGTGTTTCAAAAGAACAACAACATTTACATTGTTAGAAACAAAGAAATAAAACTTAGTGTTTAATAAAATAAAATGTTTTTAAGTGGAAAAGAATGTAAAATGTCCCAGTTTTGTTATGGTTTTTGTAGCACCAAACACGCACACAAAAGCTCTTAATGGGGGTTGACCTTTTTTTGTCTCTTTAAGGGCAATGTGTACATTTTATTAAGGAAAGAAGGGTGTTAGTGGTTTTACTACAAATCTAGTTGTATCAGACTTGTCTGTACAGTAAGCAGGGAAAGCAGCCCAGGAATGTGTCACCATCTCTCACTGGCACTCCTTGGTATGCAGACTCACTGTTGTGACATGTCAAGAGATAAGGAGATTGCACAGAGAGAAGTTAAGGGTCTCAGGCAGAGAGGAAAGAGAAGAAATGGCTTAAGGAGATGAATTAAGAAGATAATAACATGAAAGGGTAAGCGCAGGTTAACACAGTTAATATTTGGAATGCAAGTGCCCTTGCACTCATGATTCTGTAAATACAAGCTCTTTAAGCACACACTAAATGCTCTACATCATACTTTTTAAAAAAAAAAAAAAAATTTATTTTTTTTAAACACCAAAGAGTTCTGCGTAAGGTCAGGAGGGAGTCAAGGAAAATATTTTTTTTTTTTTTTAAACTCATTTACATTTGCTCACCCAGAATCCCTTGCAGTAGTAACAGCAATGCTGTTTTCTGTGGGGAAAGCAAGTCTTATGGCTTGACTGGTGTGTGCAGATCTGTGTTTAACAATGGATTTACTAGCCACCGATTTTCAGGTGGAAATGGTTTTCAATAATATTTCGTCACACCATACCTCTCTTGGTTTGTGCTCCGGAAGTAACGCCAAGCCTCAGTAGCGTCCAGCGAGCCTCAGATTAGATTCAAACCTGAGGGCACAGCAGGCACTATAACCACTACAGCGTACGGTAGTGCTCCTCCTAAGCATCCTATGACAAAATGGAATGTCCTACTCATTTAGGATTGTAAGGTTGTATAGACCTGTCAGTTTTAAAAAACTAGTGGGGTAATCTATGCTGACCAAACTAATAGAAAAATAAACAAATAATGTAAGAAAGTTTACTCTCGGAGTGCTAGATAGCTGTGTGGTATTTTTCAATTACAAAAGTTTCAACTGTAGAATTCTGACGCTGAGTAAGGCATGTTTGTGTGCTACTATACAGACAGGACCAGGCACACACAGAGTCTAAAATGGCAGTTTAATTCACATCAACCCTGGTGTGTTACACTGCCTGCGTGCATAGTCCTATTTGTAAATCATTCATGAGGAACTTGGCTATTCAGACTGCAACGGGACGACTATGTGACACGTGCCTTCTCATTACCTTCTCCTTTAATAGTCTTACTTCCTATTACACAGTTCTCACCTCCTTGCCTAAATATTCACCCACGTAAGTCGCCATTACAGAGTGCTGTATTTACCAGCTCTGCAAAGAGAAGTGATTTCAGCCATTCTGGTTTATATCTACAAAAGTCAGAAAAACACCAGCTTTAACAAAGATATTTCTGAGAAAAATAAATAAAGTAATTTAATGTTTAGCAGGAAAACTTATATAAACAAATCTTAATCACCTTTTTCAATTGCCCTCAATCCAAGGACACCAATTAATACCTGGCATGCCGTGACACAACAGAAAGAAAAATAAATAAAAATAATAAAAAAGGTTCAGGTATAAGAAGGTCAACTTTCTTACAAATAGACTTTCACTATCCGGATTGAGCAGACATTCTTACCAGAGGGCAAAATGTAGATTATGCTTCTAATTAAAACACTGAAAAGTGGTGTATAAGTAAGATATACAAACTTGTTCTACAGGGTGTCTGACTACAAGTCACTCTGAAATTTGGTTTCAGGGGATAGTAGCTGCATCAAAAATAGATACCTTTAATTTTAAACAAACAAAACACTAAACAGTGAGACACCAAATTGCTATATATCCAGAATAAACTGTACACCGCAGACAGCACTGATGGTGTTAAACAGCTGTTCCTTGGAGCACACTGACAGCACTTGAGACACACAAGGCTCTGATTGTCAATAAAAAAAAAACTCACAGCTGCACAACAAGTGTTCAGCGGTGGAGGAGCACACCCTGCACCATATTCCACAGGGTGGAGGCCACAGCAGCAGTGCCAGGCTTCCCCACACGCACTGACCTAATAGTCCTACATATCTGCTCAGGGGAAGGAGTCTGAGCCTCTTACTGTCTGTCATACACACCCACAGCCCAGCTAAAACCATAAGGAGAACAAGCAGTCAGTCACACTGTCTGCCTCCCCCCCACACACTTCAAACCAACATACATTCTTCTAATACATATACTAACTCTCCTAGGATTCCTTTACACAGACTTCTACAAACTTGCCATAGGGAGTCACAAAAAAAAAAATACGTCATCTAGATAATTTTGTACAGTGCTGCGGATTATTACAATAACATTATTTCCACCCACCTCCAACATAAAATGAGAAAAACATAACATAACAGCACATGTCTTTATCTGGATATGCTTGCATTTTTCTTCATATGATTAATGTACACACAGGTCATGCGCATATTATAAGTTACCTCCTCCAGTCATTTAGTAAGAGATACACAGGGTACACAAAATATTTGATCTTTGGAATAATTAGATCATGAAAAGGGAATTGATACAACCGTAACAAATAAATAATTTGGAAGACAGAGCAACAAGCTAGTAAAATTGTGTTGGTGGGTGAGTGCAACTATACACAGGTGGGGTGGACAAAATTTACCCCCTAGCTATTTTATAACCATTACTCGTAGGATGCTGAGCCAGCCTTTACGGGTTCTGCAACAGCTACGACACTAACCTTTGGACTCCCTTTTATAAAGCATACTTGGATTTGGCAGAGTGAATTGTATAAAAAAAAAAAAATTCAATTTCCCAACAACACCCATCATGTTAACATATCTCCTGACATTTCATAAGGGCAAAGAAGGACAAATTAATTTTAGGGGTGTGGCCAAAGGCGTGTTGACTTACTAATAATTTATGCAACTAAAATGTCATTTAAAAACATGAGCAATGTATCTTATTTACACAGGCTGATTTATATACACATTTATTGTAGTTTAAAGACATTACTGTGAGTGTTATTGCAGTAGAGCTCTGTTAAAACACTCAATACACACCAAATTTATGGAGCTTCTAGAAAAGAGGGACATTAGGGTAGAAAGGATGGACGGAGGGATATGACTCAAAAATAGGGACTGTCCCTCTGAAAAAGTGACAATTGGGATGTATGTGTTACAGAACCCGATATTATTAGATCTGGTATGCATAGAATTCTGTACATCGGTTAGCCGGACACAATTCCTCAGCATGTTATGTTTACTCTGTGAGATATTTCAGTACCAATTTAAATAGTTATTAGTATTTGATGAGGAGATAGATATAGGTATATTTATTTAAAGGACCACTATAGGAACCCAGACCACTTCAGCTCAATGAAGTGGTCTGGGTGTCAGGTCCCCCAACCCTGTAGCTGAAAACATAGCAGGTTTCTCCCGGACAGCCACTAGAAGCGCTTATGCGATTTAAACCGAATAAATCGCACTTATTTGACGCTGGACGTCATCTCGGACCTCCAGCGTCAAAAAAGATCCCCATAGGAAAGCATTGAGTAATGCTTTCCTATGGGCAGGTGTGAATGTGCGCGCGCATGCACATTTGGCTACACTTGGGAGCCAACGTTGATGGAGGAGGAGAGGTCACCAGCGCCAAGGGAGCCCGGCGCTGGAAAAATGTAAGCAAAAAATAATTGTTAATTAACCGTTTATTCACCACGAAAGGGGCCCTAAGTTACCGTTTAGGTGACTAGGGCTCTATAGTGTTAGGAATACAAATATGTATTCTTAACGCTATAGTGTTCCTTTAATATAAGCAGGTATTTTCCTGGGAAGAGGCTTAGAGAACCTAACTAGAGATATTCCACGAAGCCTTTTGGCAGTGTATCAGTTAGGTATAATGACAATCCAACACTAGTGCCAAGAGTACAACTATCCTCGGAAGCTGATACACTACCAGCTCCAGTTATGTACACATAAGCATAGTTCTGAAAGAGGAATTAAATTGATCTAGCATACACTGATTCATAATGAGAAGTTACAAGACTGGGTGTTAGCATAAGGAACTAGATGAATCAGCTGGACTGTGGTGAAAGATCAAGGCTCACAGCGGATATTGGGGGGGGGGGGGATGCAGAATGAACAAATCTAACATGAACAGTGGAAGTGGCATTAATGGGGTAAGGGATGAAGCATTATAGCCACTTAAGAAACAGTAGGCAAAAGTTTAGCATTTAACACTTTAGGAGCTGGAACATTTTTTCCCCAAATTATTTTTTCAGGTCTGTGGATAAGCACAATGAAACTTGGGCTGCAGTTATAAACTTTATTATTATTATTATTGTTATTATTATTATTATTATTTATTTTTTTAAAGGGAAGTGGTTATAGTTGTAAAAAAGATTATGTCAATTTCTTTACATAATCTTTTTTTACAGGCATTCATATACATGAACATAAATGCACTGCTACTCTGACGGTCCCTTGTCTGCGATTGCATTCTTTGAATGGTAAAACATGCAAGTACATGTTGGGTAGTACATAGAACACACACACCTTCATTTCTCCTTTTTCCAGGTTTGATTACAAGCAAGTTTAATGGTTATAATAAACCTACCAATGGTACATGAATGGTTATTCAACAATTCATGTTACTATGTTCTGTGCCATTCTCTTTCAGGTTCTGCTAATGTCACTGTACAGGAAAATGCCACAATTCACATGTGCATGCGTAACACCCATGCACAAGCTCCCAGTGCACTGCCCATAGAGCATAGACTCAGCAGCTATTCTAGATTCTAACAAAATGTAAGCCTTTTTAAAAAAGGATTTAGTGCTTACATGGAAAAAAAAAAAATAGTAGCAGCTAAGGAATATGTTAGCCAAAAGCACTACAATTGTGTTGTTTTTTTTGTTGTTTTTTTTAAAGAGCAATGAGTCAAAGTTCTAAAACTTGAGCAATGTGTAAGAAGATTCCACTGGTTTCCATGGTGACTGCTCAACTTTCAGAACTTTGCACCTGAGTTGCTCTATATGCATAACCCTTGCAGAACTCAGAGCTACACAAATTCGTTTATGACTTAACAATATGCTAAACACTAATATATAGTAGATTTACTGTTTGAAGGTCAAAACATTTCTCAGTGACAAACTTTGTGCTGGGACACAGAATGAAAACGCCTGCCTCTACAGTGCCAGTTTACTAAACCATGAAACTTATGTCATTAAATAAAAAATAATGCTGCAATATAATTTTTTAGATAACATTTTATACAGATTTGAAATCTATAAAAAAAAAATCACCACATGCATAGCTTCCCATGTTTATGGACCTTATTTTCCTGGACTCATCATGAAAAGTTCTGCCCAGAATTGTGTACAATTTGCAAGGAGGAAAGTAGTAATCAAGACAGGGGAAAGTTAAATGAGTTAAATGGTTAGCCTGCTGTAGCATGCGAATACTGCATAGCCCAAGGCAGCCCTTTTCCTGTACAGCCCCTCATCATGAAGAATTGCTATGTGCCCAGTATTATATAGTGGGACCTGCGAACTGTAGGTGGGTGACAGCTATAAGTAAGTTCCCCCTTACTCACATGCGAAACATGGCCTCCATGTCCTTGATCTGTTTTCGGGAGAACTCCTTGAACTCGGTGTAGGGGTTGAAGACGGTGGACCGGTGAGGGGGCACAGCATTGCCCGCGTTGATGTCCTGCCTCCTGTTCAGCTTGGCACTGAGCTCGGAGTCTGCACTGGCCGTGGCCGCCTTCTCCTCGGTCTCTGCTCCGTTGGGCTCTGGCGGGGGCTCCGCTCTGTCCTCCGTGGGCTCAACATCCTCTAACACCAAGCGGCGCTGGAGCTTTTGGGCGAGCTCTGTTTCTGCCATGGGAGAGCGAGCTGGTAGGAGGAGGGCGGGAGGGAGCTGCACAGCACTGTGCTCACTAACTTCCAGGAGCCCCGGAGTAGTAGGGAGAAGGGAGGAGCGGCTGGGCGGGGGGAGGAGGAGAGCCATCATTACTGACTTATTTTCTGTACAAAACACTCCATGCTTCCGCCTTAAACTGGCTCCATGACATCAACAGGTGCGTTAAAAGTCAGGAAAAGCACCCCAAAAATTTACCAACAGGGACAAACTCAGTATTTGGGATGAACCCCTTTTATTGATTTGTTAGTGCAGCACTACTATCACGTTTGGAGGTGTCATAAAAATGGAATCTTTAGAAAAAGAACTCATGGCTGTGTTGGAATTCCGTAGACATTCCAAAGAGCTTAAAAGATATACATGAAACAAAAGTTAAGTAGGGACTATTTTGTCTCATGTAAGACATGATTTTGGGCAAAATGTGAAAATGGGGCAGAGCTTCCTGCCATTTCCCAGCCAGCTTTTTTGGTCTCTTGTGCTCCACTTCAGCTTTCTGCAAATGGACTACCCTGATTAAAGCTGATCCAGTGCCTGCACACCAGGCAGACACTTACAATATCACTACTTTTCTGGTCAGGTCTGCTACTATGGCATCACCAGTGACCTTCAATACATCACTGACTAGTTCGTGCCACCACTGGTCTCTTATTTATAATTTTTAATATTTGGAATTATGTGCGGTATGAGAACATCATGCAAAGCACAATACATGCCCATGACTTGACACATGCATAAAAAGAATCTATGGAAAGTCTGGCAGCAGCATCCACTGGTGTCCATTTTGTACTCTTTCACTTTCTCAATAGTACACAATTGACACAGCTCCTGGCAGTTGAAGCTGTCAGGTGCTGAAGAGACATGCAGGGTTCGGGGAGAGAGCATGAGGTAAGTATAAATCTCTAACCTGTCCCCCTGGGTGCAAATATACACGCCAATAAGTCACCTTGGGAGGATCTCTGTAAAGAATACAAAGATTCCTCAAGTGATATTGTTGCTTTAAGAGTACATGGAAGCTTCAACTTTGTTAGCGTTCAGTAAATTTAAGTGGCCAGTAGTTTTTGGGGTACTGTTCCCGCATTGAACATTATTTCTAAAACGCTAGTAGGAAACATGATAGCAAATTGAAAATTGAACTTTTAAAACAAAACCTTAAAAAAATGTGGGTGTACATTAGTGAGGTTATCCAGTAAATTGGGTTTTGTGAAGAATGACACCATTAGGTTTAAATCAATTTTCTCCTTACTGAACAGCTTAAATGAAGAATGGAAACGTGTATTCCTAACGCTATAGTGTTCATCTCACCTTTTAGATTCAGGGCTGCCTGCTCTAAACTAAAAAAAACAAAACAAAAACACTCACTCTGTCTATCCGCCCGCTCCACCTCTGGTGACGTCTTCCTGGAGGCAGTCTCATCTTCATCTTCTTGTCCAATCCAAAGCTTATTATAGAGAAGCATTCGAAACAAAAAAAAATGTTCAGCAAGCGCCATGCTCATCCAGTCAATGCTTCTAATAGGGAAACATTAATTCCAATGTTTCCCTCTAATCAGCATGTGATGACGTTTAACTTTGAATGTCACATGATCAAGATGACGAGACAACAACAAACCCAATTTTTACAGTGCAAGCACCCTGGTGGCTCTTTTGAGGGTTAAACACACCTCTAGTGGTTGTCTTCCAATGTAAACATAACCGCATCTACAAAACTGCAATGGTTCACATTGTAAGTAGAGATGTCGCGAACCCTCCGCGAACGGTTCGCCGCGGTTCACCACGAGCTGTTCGCGGCGAACTCCGGTCAGCTGACACGTCCCGGCCAATCTCCAGCAGACCCTCCCTCCCAGACCCTCCTACTTCCTGGACAGCATCCATGTCCAGGAAGTAGGAGGGACTGGGAGGAAGGGGCTGCTGGAGATTGGCCGGGACGTGTCAGCTGACCGGAGTTCGCTGCAAACAGCTCGCGGCGAACCGTTTGCGAGAAGTTCGCGGACGGTTTGCGACATCTCTAATTGTAAGATTAATAGGGCAGGATCAATGCAACCAAACCACTACACTGAGATGAAATTGCCTGGGGGTCCATTGTGGTCTTTTTATAAAATCCATTACAACAAAATGCCATCCCTGATTAATTGATCTCCCTCCAGCAGTGTAGAAATGCTGCATACTGCAGGGCAGCAATCTTCGTGTACCACCTGATGGTAGGATTAATGGCAGGTTTAATAGCCATGTCTATGGGTGGAAAAACCCCATGAAAGTGAAACAATTTTTTAGATGAATTGTTTTGGGCATTAGTTAAAACAGCTTTGTCAATACAGTATGAAGTGCTATGTGGAATGCACTTGACTTTAGCAATGTGTGGTGAATTATGTAACAGTCACTGCGCACAGTCCTGGATTGGCCATATTTATCTGAATAGACCTATCTAACTTCTTCTGCAGCAGAAGGCCAGATGCGGTATGGGGCACTGACAGGACCCAGGTAAGTTGTCAAAACGTTCTAAACCGGTGTGACAAATTACATTGGGATAGTGTTGGGGCACTCCTGTCACCATAACCACTACAGAGGGCTGTAGCGTTATGGTGCTTTCATTGTTCCTTTAAATCTCAGCTCTGTAAATCTTCTCCTCATGGGTAATGGTAGGTGGATGATTCCTCTGGTGAAGTGGGATTGCCTGTAGGTTTTGGTGGTTACTGTAGTTTTTCCTGGTTACTATTAGGTCTGTCTAATTCCAATCTGGAATTTGTTCTGTTTATGTTTGACTATTGCTGCTGTTTCTTTGTTGTTGTTTTTCCTGACACACACACTTTTCATTTTGTTGAGCAGAGCATGAAAGTGCTGCCCAAGTGTTTCACTACCTGCCATATCTGACTCCGTCCTTGAGGTGATCCAATCTGCACATTATCTAAATCACATTGTGTAAGTGGGTCTCAAAGTAAAGAGACAATCTCACTCTGGTTTAAAAAAAAAAAAAGAGAGAGATGGATGGGCCCTAAGCATATGTATGTGGGAACTTTCTAAACGAGATAACTATAAAGCACTCCAGAGTATTATTTGTATTAGAAGCCAAGTCCCTAGTATGTACACACTTGTCTAAAGTCATTTGTGGCCCTGGAATATGTCACACTAAATGTACTCCAAGTACTTACATAGAATGTTGGTATGCATTGGATGGTAGCAAGTAATAACATATAAAAGGGATGGGGGGCTAGGGGGTTGGGGGGGGTGGGAGGCATGTTAAGCCATCATGTTTCTGTCCTCCCAGTAAAGTTGAAGGAGAAACTGCCCTGTGTATGAAAGTAGAGATCTTCCCCTTCGTAATCTGTGTTTTCTGCTTTATATGATAAAAATTATCTCGATTGTATACACCAAGTGGGTTCTGGAGTTTTCATAAATGTATAGAATATGAAAGTCTCTTACATGAAGAATAGATTCTGCATGTAGAATATTCAAAAAGAGAAGAAAATCTACTCGAATAGAAGGAAATCAGAAACACTTTAGAACTCATAGAATGTAGAGAGCAGAACAGAGTCGATATATAAAGATGTAAGATACACAAATCAGATATGCATCAAAACGCACATTGCTTACAGAAAGCAAAATTGACTTGTGATATAAGTCAACAGACATGTCTGATTTGTTACATATTACCTTATTCATTTAATTCGTATTATTGCCACCCACAAGTAATATTGATACGATTTAAGGGACTTGGACCAAACTGTACTTTTCAAATATAAAATATTGCAAATTATTGTTGTAAATTTTATATATACATTGCCAACCTAACCCTCAGTAGGCAAAAAAAAACAAAAACGAAAAAACGAAATAAAAAAAACATGGGACAGACATTCAGAAAGATGTGACTGTGAAATAATTCTTAATCATGATAAATCTAAATATAGTGTATTCTTCCCAACGTGTTTAATTTCTATACTGCTACATTTTTATGAAGAATATAGATTTGATAATGTCTGATTTGATTGTATAGTTTTGTTGCCTTTTTGCTTGATTAGTCACCTAATGTGTATCACAAATGCACAGTGCCAAAATATGTGGTACAATATTTCGTAACTGTTGGCAAACAGGATTCTGCTCTTAACCAATATTTAATGATCTAAATTAAAGGGAAAAATGTAGTAACTGGGAACAAGATATATCCTGGCTTACGCTGATAATTAGTATAAATAACTCTTTGAGTACCAGAGGAGTGAGCAGCTCTCTATTTAAATCTATTGTATCCTGCTCTGGTGCTCGAGAGCTTAAAGCTTCTTCAGCTGCCAGTCAAGCCAGTAACTATTGCACATAAACTGATCTCACTTAGAACAATTGGTTGATCCTTCCAGCATTCTTCCTCTTGCAGCACAATCCTAAAGCATTCAGGGATGCAACAGACCTTTTATCTTGTTGCGTAAATGGGATTAAAAATCAGGATTGTGGCATGCTATCCAGATGGCGATTGAGTTTTCAAATTACCGTGCAGCCATTTTCAGCCAGAAGCTGCAGTGATATTTTATTTGTATGTTAGATATAAATTTGTTTCTGATATTAAAATGGAAAGTTATAGGAACTCAGGATGTGTGTGTGTTGTTGTGGGGGGTAGAGTGCTCTCTCTCTCTCTCTCTATTAATAATTCCTTAACAAACTTAATATGTTATATTAAACGTATAATTCGTTCTGCCGCTTTGTAGTAGAATGTAATTACTTTACCCACCACTGTGGCATGTTAAAAGAGCTAAAATGGCTGTCGCTGGTATCCCGACGCACTCTACTCCTACCCTACCTGAGTAGAACGCGCTCCCTGGCTGTTCCTACCTCCTATAACAGTGATGGAGAACCTATGGCACGCGTGCCACAGGTGGCACACCGGGCCCTCTCTGTGGGCATGCGGCCATAGGTCGCAGAGAGAGGGGGCCGCTGGAGCCAGTTACACCGGTCGTCAGCAATGCAGAGTAGGCACTTGCCTGCCCAAAACGGCAGACGCCTACTCTGCTTTTGTGTCGGGAGGACCCAAAAGCAGGGGGAGGGATCTGGGAAGCAGCTCTCCTGTCCTCCCGCGAGCAATTTGTGTGGAGTGTTGCCGCACATTACCATGGCAACGTACCACACAGCATCGCGCGGG